CATGATGACAGTGGTGAGGCCCTGTCTCCCCTGCCTCCCCTGACTGCACGTCACTGATACAAATGATTAAATTTTCCCATTACTTGATCCATTCATCAACAGCAGTTTCATAAGTTCCATCTACTGTAGCTTAGCAGTCCAACCCCCTCCCCACACCTCCAAAAGGACCCAAGATCTTCTTCCTTCCTTCCTGAAAGCTAGGTTTTCCCAAATGTGTTTAAGGAAGTAAAGGGGAGCTCAACTTCTTTGCCTCCATACAATTTTCTTAACCACATTACAGAATTAGTTTGCCATTGCCTTCTTCCCAGACAATTGGGTATCCCTGATCAAAGTATTAATCAGAGTTGATTATGCTTAGCTTCTGAGATGAGGCAATGTGGCTGCTAGAAAAATGTGAGAATGATATAAAGTGAGAAGAGAATCAGTAGTGCTTTCTAAAATAAGAACAAAATTAAATTACAAAGACACCTTCTGAAGCCACAAGATATGTCAATGCAGAAATACACAAAAAACTACTGTTCTCATTTAGGGAATATATAATATTTTACTTCAAGAAACAATTTCCCCTTCTGAGCTGGAAGGGCACTCCTATCATTCACAGATTGCATTATTTAGTTATTCATTTTATTAAATGCATAAGGCTTCTAACTCTAATGATTTGCTAGCATTGGTGAACTTTGCTACTAAATGAGTGAAGATGTAAAGCAGACCTTACCTCTCCATTTCCAGTATACTGTGAAATGTGGCAGAGTCATCAAAAACTGAGAGCATATAGACTTCATCAACAATCACATGCAACTCATGTCTAGAACAAAGGAAAAGTGAGAACTTCAGCAATTGGAAGGAAAATATCTTGGTCTCATGAAATAGGCAAGAATTTTGCATTCTTTCATGGACAGTCACTATAATGATTGACTAGAAAAGAACATCCATGATTCTAAGAATGTTTGAGAATAGAGTTCAAGCATCAGCTAATTAAGAACACATTCATTGCTAGAAATTACAACACAACCTCAACAGATATTACAATCTTCCCGTAAATGCTTTGATACACAAATCAGCCCATTGATTAGACTGTCCAATAAAAGCTTATAGAGAAATAATGTAATGAAATTAATGAAATGGAAGGAAATTAGAAATCCCAGCCTACATGACTATACGTCTTTCAGCCTTATCATTGTCTAATAACTGAGTACTACTTCCTTCAATTCTTATTTGTTGCCCTCCTCCAACACATTTTATTTGATTTTTTAGTCTCTCTTTCTTTCCCATAGAAACTGGAGATATTGCTCTTCAATGGCTCTAGTTCTACTGAGGTGGATGTTTCAAGATGGTGCCAAATTTTTCACTTCACGGCAGGTGCACCATAATAATTAAACAGGCCTGTTTCCTTTTCCATGCTGTTCAAAATCCACATAAAACCCTTGAGGTTATCTGCAAATGCAATGTTACAATAATTAATTCTATTCTTCCTGTTCATCAAATTCAAGTAAAGCTGATCATAGACTAAATTTGCATCAAAAATCTGCAGTAAAGGCCAGTGAACCTCAGGACCTAGAAACTCTTAGAATACTATTATTTTTGTATCACCTTCTCTAACATAAACTGCTTCCACTTGAAAGTTATGATATTCCTGGTTCTGGCCATTTGGATTCTGGCCAGCAAGTTACAGAGAGGTCTCTAAATACTTTCAAAATCCATAATGTAACAACTGTTTATAATATGAGGAGATTTTCGGTGCTAACTGGGCACATACCATATTGAAATTTTGACCCATCAGATTCTCTAAAACATGTAAGATTGTCACACCTTTTTGCAAATTCCAAGTAGTCCTGTAAGTCTGTGAGAGAATAGATATCCCCTAGGGGATTCTGTGGATTCAGGAGAATTAAAGCCCTTACTTTGATGCCCTATAAAAGAAAGAAGAGTATTTAAAAATGCACATATATGTGTATATGGGAACTAAACACATCAATACATCAAATACAACCTGTCAGGAAACCTATTTATTCTGCAGGAGGAGGATTGTAAAAACTGACTTTTTTATTATTAAGTGGCTGAAACTTGCACTTTGATTTCATTCTTTAAATCAGTGCATTTTACAGTGTGGCAATTTTTTTTTTATGCATGATCCTGATGGATTTAAATCCTCCCTCCTCCTCCCTATGTATTAATCTCAAAGAAAAGTAGCTCAACCGTTCCTTAAAAGCGATTTGGGAAAATGCAAGAAAGTTGCTATAAGATGAGGTCAGAGAGTCTACTCTTCTAGAGGCTACATCTTTCCACTGTCCCTGATGCCTGCCCCATCCCAGTTAATAAAATTGACTGGCTATGATGAATTGTTGCAAGTATTTTACAGCTGCAGACTATTTCTAGTTCATTCTAGACTACTTTTTTTTAAAACAATTATTAAAACAGAACATTAAAAATACATTTAATTGATAAACACACCAAACACAAGATTTAGAAAGGGTAATAAAATAACACAGGTAATTTAAAATTCTCCAAGTAAATGATCTACACTAAAGAAAAAAATGTCTTTCCAGTGAACAACAATTCTTTCATTTTCTAATGAAAAAACAATTACGTTAGAAAGACAAATGGTGGGAATCTTTGCTAAAGCAAACTTCTTTCTCATATATTTGTTTGCAAGTTAGGTGAGTAAGAGGGCACTTGTAGGTAGCACTCTGATCTTCATTTTATTCAAAGACAAACAGGGTTAGGGAAATTACTGGTTGAAGGTAATAACTTTTTTAAAAGATTTATTCATTCTAAAGAGTTTAAACACAGAACAAGAAAAGCTGCTCCAGATGAGCTCATATTGCACTTGACAGCCAATGTTTAGAAAAATAGTTAAGGCTGGCAGACTAGCTTGGCCACTGAAATAATCTAGCAAAAATTGGATCAGCAAAGTTCACCTCTGATTGTGCATCCTGCAAGGCTTTCTTTAGCTTATCCACTGTAAGCTGGAATGGACGCGTGCAACTGCCAGTGGCCTGAAATATATGAAACAAGAGATTGAATAGTGGCTTTCAGATCCATCACATGCAACCCTAATGAGGAATATTATTCCTCTCACCGGCTCAGGGTTGACTCAGCCTTCCATCCTTCCAAGGTGGGTAAAATGAGGACCC